GGTAATCCCTTGCGTCTTAGTGGCATTAATACCTTGTTTGGAATGAGATAATTAAGAAAAAAATTCTAATTGTGATTCTAAAATATATTGATCGCATTATTTAAGAGTCTAGATCAGCGTTTTTCAACCTTGCGTAACCCTTAATATAAATTACATGTCTCAAGGAACCCCTGCGCAAAAACAAATATATACCATATCTTTGTCATTTTATTATCATCCTAGTTCAAGTGGTAAATATCATAGGATATATTTTTGAATAACTGCTTTAACGAAAAATTGATACTACTTCGTCAAATATTTTGGTAATGCTAAATAAAATTGATACTATTCGTTTATGATACGTCATCAGGGAGATTTCAAGAAAAACAAAAGAATAACTTTAAGTACGTGTCCCGTTCGCTGAGTGGGCACTGACTAGTGAAGGTGGTTTTAAACTGGTGCTGTACAGACATCACCAAATATATTCCCAATAATTGTTATATTTTTTTAATAACATAATTCGTTAGAGAGGAGGATGTCTTCATTACAATAACGAAGAATATATTGTCTGTGTTTAGTAATATTACGTAAATAAAATTAAATAAAAAGTTATAAGTGCATTAGCTTATCTCAAGCTTTGGGGATCTTTGGCAGAAACTTAGAGTTCCGGGAACCCCGATTGAGAAACACTTCTCTATACTTTCTGTTGGAGGTTTATTTGATCTAATGTATATAGAATTTTGAAGAATATAGAATTTTGAAGAAAAAATATTACCTGCAATATATTTTTGAAAAAAAAATAGCAGAAAAAAAAAAGTCGACATTAAATAACCCCTTGTGGTTGATATGACGTAAAACGGATCAGACCAAACAAAGGTATCAATTTCTAATGGTAGCTCGAAAAACAAAAATTAATTTTCGACTTTCTAATCATCTCACCTTAAGCAAGGCAATAAAGCCACTAAGACACAAGGGGGTTACCGGGTATTAGATAATATGAAAAAAATGATCACTATCAAGGATAGAGAACAATAAAAGAACAGGATTTGAGAAGACCAAATGTGACGATTGACATTGCATTTAAATTCAAAGATCAAAGTTTACTGGGAAGCAATAAGGCGGAAGAGTGTTTCATATGCGAGAAGTACGATAGAAGAAACTCTCATTATAGAACTTGCGGTTACATCGATTTCAACTGTAAAATGATGACACCTTGCCGACTATCTAGCGCTTAAACTCATAGAATCTTTGTACTGTAGGGAGAGTAATATTTATTTGGCAAATACAAAAATTTGGCACAAGGCACAAGGCCAAAATGGAGACGATAGGGGATAACTGGTCTTCAATCTGTCTTATCTCAAACATAGCTAGCCTCAATTACTGAGCCAAACATACCACAGTATTCTTTACACTAAAACAACACATTTTTACTTATCATTCTCACAACACCCACCATAATACCACAAGGTCTCTATGAAGTACTAATTAGTTTTCATATATTTAATTTTTTTCTGTAGTTGGGTGAATAAATATACCGTAACGGAATGTTCATTAACACAATTACCATGAAAGGATTTATAGAAAAGTACCAGAAAGTGACTGAAGCCGTGATGCCATGTTAGGACCAATAACATTGCAGATTCTGCCTAAGATTTTATCAATGATCTCTAAATGTATAGCAGGCGCACCAGGCAATTTTCAAAGCAAGGTTGAATGGCAAATTTATAAATATATATAACAGGTTCTGGCGAGAAAAATGAATCGCTAAGTTTTAAATTATATTTTTTACCATAAGTCAAGGACACTCTTGTATTATTTTTCTAAAAACGAGCAAATGTGATCAGATCGAGAAGCCGGTGCCATTTGAAATTCGACCTTGATTCCCCAGCGTTATAGGGAGGAACATCGCAAAACAAATACTGACCATCGATTGATCAGACGATTAGGCAGATCATTAGATACCTGTTTTCGTTCCGTCTGTCACGTGAAAATAACTGCTATGGATTTTCAGACTGGTCAATATTAACAGGGACTGGTAATGATTGCGACTGAAGTAAGTTTTTTTTTTTGGCCTTTGTGGCTGATGTCCAGATATCTCATTCTAAAACAGGCTAAATGTGGAACAGTTCCGACCGGATGGGACGTGGTCGGTTCAAGGACTGATCAGTTCGATATTTCTTTGTTAATATTCATTCATCTCTCTTTTTCTCTTGACCAGATGTCGGTGATCATGCTATATAGAAAGCCATATTTTCATATTCTGATTTTCAACGTAAGTGTTCCCTTTATAACTTCCGAAATAGATACAGTATTAAATTTCGGCTTATCTTATAAGGAGGGCCTACTGAAAAAAGTTTCAACCTGACAAAGAAACTCCGCTAGCCAATTATTGTCTTATTTTTAAGAGTGGTGGACTGAGAATGTTTCAGCGCCACCGTGTATATATTAAGCAATTTTCCTCCTTGCTTACAAAGCGGAAATGTGGGTGATGGAATGCATAGCAACTCGGAAAGAGAAAGTGAATAGCCGAGTTCGAATTTCAGTATGGTTACTTACATTCACTTCAGTTTACTTGGTAAAGGTATACATCCATATGCTCCCCCTGTCTATGTATTAAATAGTGGGATTTGTATCTTGAAAGGCCTTTTATCTTGTGGTTCTAAAAAAGTAGTTAAAGCAATGTTCTCTAACAAAAATAGAATTATTCTTACATTCATAAATATGGCTTAAATTTAAATAACCCACGAAAGAGTTGATAAAAAAACCCGAAAAAAACCCCCAAAAAACAATGCAATTCAGCTACAAAACCTGCTAAACTTAAAATCTTTATCCTCCAAAATCAGTTACCAGGAAAAGACTTATAGTTCAGGATGTAGTGAGATTAATAAGCTGATAAACTTGTTGGTATCCTTGAAATAAATTCCCGCCACTTTCTCTCCAACACGTAGGAAAGCATACACAAATATATTGTTTTTGCATAAACTAAGACTCCTAAAAGAAATATTATCTTAATTTATTATATCTATCTATCTATATATCTATCTATCTATCTATCTGAGTCTGTTCAATATCTATCTATCTATCTATCTTGAATATTGCTACCATATTTGTTCTGGAGGTCTTGTAATATATCTAGATGGAGTTTTGTAGGTTTGTATATGTGTCTAAATGAATGATTTCTTACGGAGATATGGTTTGATAGGGTATATATATATATATATATATATATATATATATATATATATATATATATATTAATGATGTCCCTTCAAAAAATTCGAACAAGATATTCAAAGGGATGTAGATTTTATGTCCGATTTCATAAAGCTTCGCAAATGTTCAATATGTGTACCACCTGTGACACGACACACGTCAAGTTGGTAGTCCAGCTCCTGCCAAACACGCTGTAGCATGTCTTGCGTAACATTCTCCTGTGCCTCGGCGATTCTCTACTTAATTTCCTCTACACTTTTTTAAGCATTTCACCAAAAGCAAGGCGGAAGTGCCACTAGCACACAAGGGGTTACAGAGAGTGAGAGCGAGAATAAAGAGGGGTGTTTGATAAAGAGAAGGACGGGGATCAGGATCAAGGCATCAGAATATGTCGATTGACATTACATTTGAATATTTGATGATTATAGCTTTCAGAAAAGCAAGTAGGAGGAAGAGAGTTACACTGTCGGAAAGTGCGAGAGAAGAAGCTGTTGGAGTAGAAGAGGCGGTTATATTTAACTGTT